CCGCGTTATATACTGTGGGCCTGCACGCGCATTCAGGTAGGCTCGCCCCGATTGGCCGGCTACGTTTATGCAACTCAGTAGGTGAATGCTCGCATAGCATGGTATAGAGTATAGTACCCATAGAGTCCAGTAGAGGGCAGAGCCTGTGTGATATATAACTCCAAGTTCTAATATTGTATCTACCTGAAGATGAATTGGATCAGGCACAAGGTTACAGTGGATGCAAAGAATAGAAACACATATTGTAATTACATATAATTTTTACATAGTGTTTATATTTGTATTTTTCATAAATAGACATAAAACTTAGGCTCTATCCAAAATAATAGACTTTTGTTGAAAATATAATATATAATATAAATGTGTTTTTATGTTTTTATGTTTTTATATATGCTTTTATCATAATATAAGCATCTATGTTGAATGTTGTTTTACTGATTGTATTTACCTGTCATTTGAAGTGAATTTTTTTTTAGGATGACTTTAAACATCTGTCCAGGGACTACAGATGAAAAATAGCCTGTTGGCTAACTCTGGCACATTTACAGTAATGTCAATCAATAATTAAATAATTTAAAAAAAAATAAGGCTTTAAAATAGATAGCTTCAAACATCCAGGATTTTATTGTATGAAACACATAAAAGCACTAAGTCGGTTCTTTTTTATCCTTTATTTACAACAAAGAGGTTTAACAACAATTGCCATAAACAACAGAAACGTTGTACATTTCAGGGAGTCCTTTGAGAAATAAAATAAAATGTCTTTCTTTTAAAATGTCAAAGGTTTTTGCAGCTTGATAAATTCGATAACAATACGATTAAAGCACTAAGTCGATACTGATCTTATTGATGCTGGAGATCTTCTACCAGTCTGTTGTGGCCAGTGCTCTCTTCTCTGCTGCGGTCTGCTGGGGGGGGCATCAGAGCCGGTGACACCAGCAGAATCAATAAACTGATCAGGAAAGCTGGCTCTGTCATCGGCATCAAGCTGGACACCTTTGAAGCTGTGGTTTGTAGCCTTTATTTAACCAGGTAAAATCCCATTGAGATCAACGATCTCTTTTTCAAGGGAGACCTGCAGCACATTGGTTACACATAAAAACAACAGAAAACCAAAAGGACATCATACAACATAATTACAGGGGACCTATTCACAATGACAGGTATCAAATAACATTTAATCTATCCGAGCTTTAAAATGATGCAAGGGAACCAAAATGCTCAGTTTAAAAAAAAATGGCATAGTGTTCCAAGCTAGAGGAGCAGCGCACATGAAAGCTTTTGTACCTAAAACAGTCCTAGCACTTGGCACATGTAATAAAAACACATCCTGGGATCTCAGGCAATAGCTACTTGCCACTCTCTGTGAGATCAAAGAGCATATATAAGTTGCTAGTTTACCCAACATGGCTTTATAGATAAACATGTACCAATGACTGAGCCTCCGTACAGTTAGTGAAGGCAAACCTGCCTTGGCATACAGGGTACAGTGATGAGTAAGTACTTTACAGTTAGTAACAAATCTCAGCGCACTGTGATAGGCGGCATCTAACTTGATCAGGTCTGGGGAGGTGCATTCATATAGATCAGATCACCATAGTCCAGCACTGGTAAAAAGGTCACAGAGACTAGACTTTTCCTGGCCTCAAGCGGGAAACAGGACTTGTTTCTGAAAAAGAAACCTAGCTTCACCCTCAGCTTTTTAAGCAGATTATTGACCTGAAGTTTAAAAGAGAGGCAATCATCAAGCCAGATACCAAAGTATTTATAACAGACAACCACTTCAATTACTTTTCCTTGCGTAGTAACAATATCCAAAGTGGTCTCCGGTGTCTTTTTGGCTTTTGAAAATAGCATTACCTTAGTTTTATCAACATTTAAAAGAAGCTTAAGCTCAGCGAGCTGAGTCTGAATAATATTAAAAACAGCCTGTAATTTAACACCAGCCTCCTTAATGGAGGGACCTGCACAATACATCACGGTATCGTCCGCATAAAAATGTAAAGTTGCTTCATCCACATTTTGACCTAAGCTGTTGATGTAGATGGAGAATAAAGGTGGACCTAAAACAGAACCTTGTGGTACACCATTTGTAATGTTTAACCACTCAGAAGACAGCCCATCAAACTGAACACATTGGGACCTTTCAGAGAGGTAGTTCACAAACCACCCCACTGTATGGCTGGATATGCCAATACTGGCCAGCCTCTGCTTCAAGACATGATGATCGACGGTATCGAAAGCTTTGGAAAGATCAATAAACAGAGCTGCACAACTCTGCTTTTTGTCTAAGATATTAGCAATATCATTCACCACTTTCATTGTCGCAGTGATGGTGCTATGTTGCTTTCTGAAGCCTGACTGATGTTTAGACTGGATGTCATTTTTACATAAAAACTCCTTTACCTGTTCACTCACTAGGCGTTCGAGCACCTTGGCCAGAACTGATCATTTAGAGATGGGCCTATAATTATTTAATGAAGTGGCCTCCCCTCCTTTTAGTAAAGGCAGGACATAAGCTGACTTCCATATTTTTGGAATTGTGTTTGTGCTGAGGGAGAGGTTAAAAAGAGAAGTAAGAGGTGGTGCAATAAAATCGGCAGCTATCTTTAAAAAGAAAGATTCTACGCTGTCTGGACCAGCCGGTTTCTTAGGATCTAACTTGGTTAAGGCTTCATGAACGGCTTCAATAGAAAAAGGAGAAAAACTGAAAGGGTTTTCCATAACACGTTTTTCAGAGTCACAGACTGTGGTGTTCACAACAAGAGTTAGAAACAGAATCAAACAGAGAGCACACAGGACACAAAATGCTCATTAAAACAATTTAACATAGTGGCCCTGTCCGATATAGTGCCAGATGCTGTAATAATGCACGGAGGTAGCTCATTACGGATTTCACCGGTGGATAACGATTTTATGGCTTTCCAACATGTTCTACTGTAGGATTATTCAGGTTCTTTGTGGTAACTGACAGATAATACTTAGACTTAGCACTTTTGATTTGTGATGTGAAGCTATTTCTTAGCTGCCTAAAACGCAGCCATTCTACCTCTGAGCCTGATTTCCTAGCCTTTGCCCAGGCCTTGTTTATCTCATGTAGGAGACTAGACAATTCAGCAGAAAACCAAGGATTGTCTCGTCCCTTCACTCTAAATTTACGCAGGGGTGCATGTCTATCCATAATTTCCATAAAACCAAGACAAAAATAAGACCATGCAGTTTCAACATCATCACACAGGTGCGAGGTTTAACCTTTTGGACCTTTGTGTCCCTAATTGTGGCTACAACACAGTGATCACTCAGATCATTTGCAAATACTCCCACAGATGAGTATTTATGGGGAACATTAGTTAAGATGAGATCAATTAAGGAGGATTTATTTGGGAACTTAATGTTGGGGCGAGTAGGACTGTCAACAATCTGAGTAACAGTTAAGATCGCCAAGTAGCACTATTTCCTTGAAGTCAAGTTGAGATAAAAGATTTGCCAACGAAGACAAGGAGTCCTTGACAGCTGAGGGGGGTCTGTAACAGCCCACCAGCATGACCTGTTGACCCTTTGCCACTTCAATATTTAAGGCTAAAAATTCGAGTTGCTTACTGATTGATTTGGAAACCAATGTGGTTACACTAAACTTAACCTTTATTAGGTCGGTCGGTACGATATACATTATAACCATTTAAGGATATGTCAGAGGCCAAAATAGATTTATTTAGCCACATTTCTGATAAAACAATGACATCAGCATCAGTCGAGTTCGCCCAAATCTGGATAAAGTCTAGTTTAGGTAAAAGACTGCGCACATTCAAGTGAATGAATCTTGAACAGACCTAGCTTTAAAATCACCAGCAAAGTATGTGAAAGTGTGATTAGAGCTCAAGAAGCAGTCCTGAAGAACCATCATAGCAGGCAAACAAAACAGACAAACATATTTTGCCTGATTGGTTCGGCAAAATATGTTTGTCTGGTGGAGAGGAGGACACTGAACAGGCTGTTGTCCATCATGGATAACCCCACCCCCCTCTCCACCTGCAGCTGGACAGTCAACGGAGCTCCTTCTCCAAAAGACTGCTGCAGCTCCGCTGTCACAAGGACAGATACAGAATTAGAATAGAAGAATTGGGAGGGATGAAACCCTCTTTAATGGTGGGTCACACATGCAGAGCACACAGCACACACAGTGAAATTTGGCAGGAAAACATTCCTGCCCACTGCAATAACTCTGTACAACATATTACCTCTGGCTGGAAGAGAACTCACTTCTCCATAGCTTACATTTATATTCCATTGAATATTCCATTCCTTACACACTTAATGTATAATATCCTGCTCTATATTTTGTTTACTGTAAATTTGTATTTCAACATGTATATTTTCTACTTTTGTAATGCTATTTTATTTCTATTTGAGATATTTACATTTTGAATTGTTTATTTCTAGTCTTTTTTTTCTTCTGCAGCATGAGGTCTAAAACCACCAGACTAAGGGACAGTTTCATCCCACAGGCCATAAGAATGTTAAACATCTGCACTTTTGAAAGAACATACATAACATTCATCTGTTTGCAACTCACATCATATATCAATATTCCAATTACTATAGACTATTCTGCACAGTTTCTATCATATTCTGTTTCTATTATATTCTATTTTATTTTATTTACTTGTACTATTTTATCTGTTTTATTGTGTTGCACTGTTGGAGGAGCCTGTGACCTAAGATTTCCATTGTCTTAACTACAATGTAGCTATGCACACATGACAATAAAAGCCTTGAAACTTGAAACTTGAAACTTTTAATTTCTCTAATGTACTACTATGCCTTGTCTTTTTATGCTGCTGCAAAGCAAACATTTCCCAAATTGGGATCAATAAAGTAGGCTACTTCTTATCTTATCTTTGCTCAGCCCCTCTTATCTCGACCATAGACTGTATGACGATAGACTCCAGTCCCCGCTCCCCTCGGTATTGACTGCGCATGCGCCAGTATGAGACACGCCTCTTCTTCTATCTGGAAGCCATGTGGCTGTGGTTGGTAAATAAATAGCTCTAGTAATTGTAGTCTTTGCTTTTATTCTGAATTTCGGAAACAAACCCTGACATTGCAGCGTCGAGGCAGCAAACATGTCTTCCAGCGTGGTGGACCTCGAGGCGCAGGTGGAGTCGGTGCTCGGCGCGCTGGTCAAAGCTGCGACGGTGGAGTTAACGAAGCTGTTCGAGAGCAGATACCGAGCCTCGGCGATGGATGTGGGCCGCGCTGATGACAATAAGCAAAATAAAACACAGGATACTTTATCGACTGGGGGCACGACACGCAGCATTGGAGTGCAAGTGGACGAGGACATTTGTCCGCTGTTTGAACTTACTGGTGCGTATGTTTGGAGCTTTACATGCTTTCACTTCCTGTTTACGTCCATGGCTAGGCTACAGGATTATATTATACATCCATGGGTTATATGCACGAGGAGAATGCACGCTATATCCTTAACATGCAAAGTACAATTAGTAAGATTATATTCAGTTCAGCTTAAAAAACATGTAATGTTTTTATTTAACTGTTGCCCAAAATCCTGCATGGTGTTCCCCATTGCTAACCCCAAGTGTAAAGGAATGTATGGGTCTTAACCCCTCCCCCTTCTTCTCCACAGACCCCCCTCTGCTCTCAAATGGAGATTGTTTGGAGGAGTGTAGCGAGAAGGAGGTGCAGGGGAGCTCCACTGCCTCACAAACCTTCCTGTTTGAAGATAATGGCCAAGTTCACCCAGAGAGGTCGCCTCTGAAGGAACAGGTCAGTGAGAATTTACAGGGGTGTAAATCAGCTGTGGAATGAAGAGGAACAGGCTGAATGAAACTGTAAACAGCTTTGTGATTGATTGGCTCATTATCACACCCTGGCTTGTTGTTTATCATGGCAGTATTAATTTTTTTTTCATGTTGCCTCAAGGATGTTCTTCATTGTTCCCATTCCATCCAATGTACCGCAGACATGCAAATCGTGTTTGTTTCTTCTTCAAACAGGTTGCGGCAGAGACTGTAGATATGGTGGAGGTGAGCGATATTAAAGAGGAGCCTCCAACTGATGGTGATCCTCACACAGAAGTTGTTTTACAAGGTAAGGAACATGAAACACACGCTGGCAAACACAAGAATATTGCAAATGGGGTTTAGCTTGCAGTGGATTGAAACATTTCTTCCTAAATATACTGTACATTATTTGTAATAAGCACATTTTACCAGTGGGAGTTGCAATTGAGAAAGGAGTAGGAAGTGTTCACATAATCCATGTTTGTTAAGAGCAGACTGGGCTCTGGTTTCAGACAGAGGGTGAAAAGAGGTGCCGCAGGATGAGAAACATAGGTTCACTGATGGAAATCATTTGAATTATGATTGTTTAAAGCAGGGGTGTCAAACTCAATTTCATCGCGGGCCACATTAACATTATGGTTGCATTCAAAAGGCCGGTTGTAACTTTAAGACTATATAAAAATACATATATAAATATTTAATATATATAAAATAACGTATTATATTACATTATTGCCTCTGCATTGGATTATTTTCGGATAGGGTAATAACTTCATAATTGCAAGTCTTTTCAGTGAGCATGTCACAAAATGATTTAAAAAGAAAAGCCAAATTCTGGAAAAAAAGGAAGTGACATTTTGAGAAAAAGGCATATTTTGAAGGAAAAAAAGTCAAATTCTGAGAAAAATGTCAAATTTGAGATGCATTGTGGGACATGTAGTTTATGGGCAACGTGCTTCTGTAAATCGGCCTGTAACCGTATAATAAACATATTATATTCTTTGCAAGCTCTTGTGGGGCCACAGAAAAGGAAGCCACGTACCGGATTTGGCCCCCGGGCCTTGAGTTTGACACCCCTGGTTTAAAGCTTTTTACACAATTGTGCTGTTGAAGAATAACTTTAATACCATAAAGTATGGATGATTTAACATGAGATTACACCATCCATATAACAAAATATAGTCTTTGAACTATCAGGCTCTACCAAGGAAATGTATCTGTGACTACAGAGCAGTAACTTGACACCACTCTTATACAGCTGAAAGTGAAACTATAAAATACGGCACATGTCTGAAAGGAAAAACTGCAAAGAAACCCCAAACATCACAAAACAAATATTGTGAACTGAACACACTTTAAAACAAGTATTTATGGTCTCCTGCACAGATTTGTGATGCTTCAATGATAGAATATGAGGCGGCACGTCATATCAGTGCGTCTACCTGACTTTTTGTTAGACATTTCACAAAACAAATATACACAACTCGGCCACAGAGGAATTCAGGAAAGGCCGCTACACCACCCAAGCTTACAGTCAATTGTGTACTTATGTGTTAAACAAATGACAGAGAAGAGAGAAGTGTAACCTTTAGAGATTTACTATTTCTAAAAAACAAGATGGAAAACAGATGGCAAGACAAGTCAAAATTAGATTTTAATTTTAATTTGACCTTTATTTAACCAGGATAGGTCTCATTGAGATTAAAAATCTATTTTTCAAGAGAGTCCTGGCACAAGAATGGTAACAGCACAGTTGTACAACAGTTAGCCAAAGCATTTACAGACACAGCGACCTGCTTCAAGGTCATTTAGAGTTGCTTTGAGTTTGTTTAGAGACACCAGCTCTCTGAGTTTCAGCTCAATTTGCACCTGGTTCCAAGCCACAGGAGCAGCGTAATTGAACACCCTCTTCCCCAGTTCAGTGCAGACTTTTGGTACAGTTAGATGAAACAAGTCCTCGGAGCGAAGCCGATAAGATCCTGTGGATTTCTGGTTTATGTAGATCCTTAGATAGGGAGCACCAAGAATAGCCTTATATATAAGGATGTGCCTGTGTTTCAGTCTACGCGTGGTCAGGGAAGACCATCCAACACGAGCGTATAGGTTGCAGTGGTGCGTCAATGTTTTGAAATTTGTGATGAATCTCAGTGCACCGTGGTAGATGGTATCCAGCGAGTGAAGGCACTGAGAAGATGCATTCATATAAACCACATCTCCATAATCCAGCACAGACAGAAAGGTTGCAGACACTAGTCTCTTTTTGGCCTCGAATGAAAAACAGGACTAAAGAAATTATTATTTTTACATTTTTTCAAAAGTTCCAGAATGTGTGGCTTAAAAGAAAGAGAATTGTCAATTATAATTCCAAGATACTTATACTGCGACACAGATTCAATCTCCGACCCCTGAATATTGCTAAAGTACACTTGCCACACCTAATAATCTTAACCATATACAGCAGATTTTGTTTTGTTCAAACTGAATTTTTATTTTAAATGTCCTAAATCTAAAGAGAGGACATCATGGCAGCGATGCCTTTGGGCAATACCTTTACTTTCCCCTCACCACTAGACAACTGATTTAAGACTTCAGCCCTGTTTGTTATCATTTACCCATGAACCCCTTTACACTAATCTAATGGCAATTAAATATGTTGGTCCCATGTTTGATTAAGCACTCTGGTCACTTTACATTAACAAAAAATGTATGCCGGTGCAGTTGAAGCTCGATGAAATAAATACGGTGGGAATGAAACACATAATTATAGGTGCATCTTAATCTGTTTCAGTCTCTGCAGCGACATGGAAAGAGGAACCAAGACACGAGTCTCCGCACAGCTCCCCAGAAAAAAAGATGCCTCTCATTATCCATCCAGATATCATTTCTGGGAAGAAGGTTACGTTTGTGTGCCCGTTGATTCTCAAGTCTGGGTCTCCAGCCCCCACACCGGACATTCCACAGAAGCCAATCAAAACGGAGCCTCTGCAAGTCTGCGTCAGCACCGCTAACGGCACCGCCTACAGCCCGTCCCCGTCTGATGGAGCTGCCACTCCTGCTCAGGTTGGGGCTTTGGAAAACATCCACACGCCAGAGGAGACGAAGAACAGCCTCCAAATTACACTGAAATTGTCTCCTCCAGACAAAAAGCTGAAGCATGGCTGTGTGGTGCAACTGGTGGACGTGATGAGGGGGCCAGCATCAGAGGCGAAGCTTCAGGATGCTGTGGCCAAAGGTAATGATGATAACCGTAAAAACAATTATCCTCTGCCCAAAGACCTCCGCCGCCACCAAGGTCTTCACACCGGCCGCCGCCTCTGTTGCTTCACCCCCTGTGAAAACGGTATCTGGCGGCTTCAGGAGGTGGTCGCCCGCTCCCGCGATGGATACCCTTGTAGCAACTGTGGGAAGACGTTCAAGCGAAGGAAGATTCTACGGCGGCACGAGCGCTTTCACTCCGGAGAGAAACCCTATGCATGCCTGAAGTGCTCGAAGTCGTTTGCACTGAGGAAGAGCCTCCGGCGCCACTTGAGGTTCCACACTGGGCAAAGGCCACATAATTGTCCGAAGTGCGGCAAAAGCTTCCGTTTGCGAGAAAATCTGAAAGCACATCTGAGGTTTCACACTGGAGAGAAACCGTTTGACTGCGCCATTTGTGGCAAGACGTTCAGGATCGTCAGGAATCTGGAGAAACACAAACGGGGCTGTTGTGAAATCTTTGTACCTTCATTCAGGACAATTGCTGGCCTGTAGCCGTGGAAACAGATGTCAGTGGCTGGTTTTGGTTGTTGTATCACTTTCTACCTCAGACAAAAAACACTATCACTTTTCTAGATGTAATGTTTAGACAAAGAAGTTAAAGCTATGAGAAGAATTGAAACAATAATCCAGTTTCATTCCAGAAAGAATTTAACAACCAACATGAAGAGGTGCATTATGATCTGGCTGTTTTTACATTTGTACCTATACTACTGATTAGTTTTCTTACACAATTTTTCTTTGTTTATTATGCCTTGCCATATTTTGCCTATTGTGATTTTGGACCAATAGTGAGACTTTTCGTTAGATTTCAAATCCCTACCCATCTGGTGCCCCCCCATTGGACCTTATAACCGGAAAATTATATACAGTAGTCAACGGCAAGAGACAAAACATGTTTTGATCCTGTTTACATTTTGTCGTGAAAAACACATTTGATGTTTTTCATGTGAGAACCTACTGGGACAAAACATGGGATCTTTGCTTCATCAGGAGAAAGAAAACTGCGACTTGACTTGCAAAATAACCTTTGCATTGACAAACGTCATGTGTAATTCATGGCCCAATTTTAAATTGATCCAAAACCTTATTTATCTGTCGCCTTTGACTACTGTTGATTTCCCCCAAAAATAAGGTGCCATGCTGTTGCAGTGGAAGGTATTCACTAGACCTTCTGAGAAACACATGGTCATTCCTTTAAAGAATCCCTCCACTTAGCAATTAAAGCAACATTTGTGCCGAAGTGCTCTGCAGCTTTTGGAGGTTGTTGTGTCTTGTTAAATGTTTTGCTTTGACAAGGACGGAAGGAAGGTAGTTGCTTATTGTTTGGTTGGCAAAAAAGATTATCTTTCTGTGCCATGATTATATATGGTTTTTCCACTGATGTTTGTTTTTTTTGTTGTGTATACTGTTTTTGTTTTCATGTGTTTATACTATACTTTTTTTCACTTTATACTCATGTCTCTTACCAAAAAGGTTTAGTTTTATATTTCTGTTATGATGACTGAATGTATGTAGATGTCCTTACCTTCATGACCAAGATGTCAAAGTCTATCCATGCTGACTATAAGAAATCTAGTTCTTATGTTAAAACCGTTTTGAATGACAAAAGTACTAAAGTGTACTTATGGCCAAACAAATTTGATCACATGTTGTCTTTTTTTGTAAAAGAATCTAAAAAGTTGTTATAGTCCTCATTCATGTCAGATTTCTTTTAAACTTCTGATACTAAATAACATTGTGTTTTAATAAAAAAAATGGTGACATGTATTTTGTTGTCTGCACCCTCGAACAGCTCTCTCATAATCACCCAATATAAAAGATTTATATTTTAACTAATGTATTCATTGATCGGTTGATAGACGAATTACTCTAGCATTATAGTTCTCCTATAAAGCCCTTTTAAACGTATGGTTAATTAACTGCATGTCTTAAAATCTAGACTGTGTAATTCTTTGAATAAGACTCATATGCAGTGGTGGGAAATGTAAGTAATGTAATGTAACGTTGTCAGAAGGAAAAAAGGAGTAGGCCTACATGGTGAAGTCATGGTTTAAAGAGGAATATATAGTAAAATATCATGATTTGTGATCTTATTTATGCTTTTTTAACAATCGTAATCTGTTAAGAAACAAGAAATTAAGGCTTCAACATAAATATACTGGAGCAAAATAACAAAACTGTCTTCCAAAATGTAGAAGAGTATCGGTGTAAAGTAGGGTCAAATATATGTTTGAGTTAACACCAGAGTTCCCATCATGCTTTGGGTGATGTAAACAGGAAGTAGTCAGTTAGCTCCGCGCTACGGGAAGCGTAGCTATTTCATGTGCCGCATTTTTCAACCTAATATATACATTTGTGTTAATTAACACCATGAAAAGTAATGCAAAATTAGCATATTTTGTTTAGCTTTCACTGTAAAAATTGTTTTAGTTGCAGACAACAAATAATGTGATTGATATGATTGATCCTGAACGTCATATCTCTGGACATGGGAGAAACGGAGAGGGTACGTTAAGTGAGTAAATACATGTTGTATTTTCAGTGAAGCTCTGACTCGAGAAGATAATATGTTTCAGTTTATTTGGATAGTTGGACTAACCCACAGGAACCAATAACATCACAGCTCTGTGTCATGTAACGTTAGTCGAGCCAAGACGGTCTGGACTTTGAGCACTTTTATTGATTACGTTTATTGCGCTGTTATTCGTGTTAATAGTTGGTCAGAATCATAGACTGTATATATAAAGGTCAGAATACACTTAGTGGTAGAAGGACTGTTCAGTGACTGGACTTCAACAAAACATTTTCAAACTAGCAACAACTCAATTCAGCCCAGAAGAGTTCAGATATTTACTGTGAATTTGTTTTACACTCTGTAATAATGTCAATAAGTAAGCAATTTTATTTCTTATTTTTGTTCACTCTAATAATGACATTTGGGCGATTTTTGTCTGTATTCAACTTTAAAACTGAGTTATTTAGAGACTCTCTTTGCTTAGGCCACGCCCACCAGGAAGTACATTTATAAACATGCAGCAGTGCTTTCGCTTTGAGAAATGTGTGTACGGAAGATTTAACTGACAAGTGTTACTGAGGTTGTGTTACTCAACTTTAACTTTTAAGGTAGGAACCCTTTTGCTGTTTAACTGCCAAGATCATGCGCTAAGGCTCACTGGTTTTTCAAAAACAAACAAGTTTTACAAGGCAGCAGCTGAGTGCTGGACAAACTCTGCAGTTAACTCCTTACTGTCCCCTCTTTTCATGCTCTCTTTGAACAAATAGGGATCAAGTATGGAAGATACAGAGAAATCAAAGCTTGAGGAGATGCTGATGTGCCCGGTGTGTCAGGACACATTCAAGGACCCCCGACAGCTGTCCTGTGGTCACACCATTTGTATGGTCTGTCTGGAAAACATGATGGATCACTCCTCAGACGGCCCTTTCCGCTGCCCAGACTGTAGGGAATCTTTTGGACCCATCGTAGAGGTGCAGAAGAGCTACGCCCTGGCCAATATTGTAGAGCATTTTAGGGTGATCAAGAGGAGGAGGGTATGTGCTATAATGACATGACCGTGACACTGTTGAGAATACACATGGACAAATGTCTCACAAACCTTTCCCTTTTTTCAAAGCAGGAGGAGCAGACAAAAAGTGTGTACTGTGACTGCTGCCCGGAGGAAAAAACCCTGGCCTTCAAAACGTGTCTGAAGTGTGAGGTGTCGCTGTGCAAAGAACATGTCAAGGACCACCTGGAGCTCCCTGTGTTCACCGGACACCCTTTGGTTAGCCCTCTGGGGGACCTCCTGGAGAGGAAATGCCCACATCACGAGGACAAGGTGCTGAGGTACTACTGCAACGCGTCCATGCGCTACATCTGCAACGTGTGCACACTGGAGAGCAAGCAGCACAACCTGGCAACCGAGGCCTCCTCTGTCCTGCGAAGACAGCTGACTGTGAGCTTCAGAAACACACTTTTACACTGTATTACATGAGAAACATCTTGGCATCATTATGTTATTAGGAAAAAAGTTGGATTTACAAAGGAAGTTTGTTGTGTCTACACTCGTTTGTTGAACATTTCTTCTGGGAGTAGCACACGGGTAGGGGATTCCTGTTGATGCATGTTGTGCAGAGAAACAGGATTTTCTGGTTCCTCAGAATCTCAAAGTCTGACTGAAAATCTTTATGCGATCTATGGGACTCATTTAGTTTTTTGTGGGGATCCCATAGAATCCAAAGATGCAAATATGTAGGCTGTACATGTTTTACTCATTGAAACATATTGCTTACATGAAAATATAGAAAAAGCAGATACATAATATGCTGTATATATAACTGTCAGATAGTTTAGAATAAGATGATTTATTTTTCAACTACTTATTCTAAGACACTTCAGGCAAAAACATAATTTTCATGAAAAGATAATTTTTTTTAAATTATTTTCATATAACCTTTACCAAACAAATATGTTTTTTTAAGTCTGGAGAATAACATTTGTGGGCTGGAATATCTCTGCAGCTCCAATGTACTTTATTCAAAATGTTTTTTTCTTAAACACATATTTATCCTTTAATAATTCAGTAGTCCATATTGCGATGTCAATTAATTGTGCGGGCCTAATTTAGACAATTGGATTTTCAGGGGTTTTAAGTAGAACTGTGTTTGTGTATGTATTTAACAGGAGTACATGGACCAACGCTTCGAAATGCTTAAGGCGCAAATTGTAGAATCCAGAGACAATTTGCAAAAAGAAATCCTACGTCAAGTAAGCTTTGTTTTCTTAATATCTGTTATTCTTAAGTTTGTTTTCAACACTTCAGATGTAATATGTATTTCCCTCCTGACAGAAACAGAGAGTGATCCCCGCCGCCTCGCCACTCAACAGTGTCACAGTGGTGCTGCTCTTCCTGTGGTTCATCGTTCTGTATTACGGTAAGAGATGATAAACCCTAGAACTTTTTGTCTTGTGTGTGTGTGTACGTGCACCCACTGATGTCTGTCCTTGTTTCCCACCAGCCTACAACTACTCTGTGGAAAACCAGTTGCTAACAGAGGCGCTGGAAAAACAGCAGAACCGTGTGCATCACGTTTATTCCACCATTGCAGGTAACAAGAGAGGCATGCAGAAAGAAGTTGTAGGTTAACATTACATTATGTTTCAGTTAGCTGACGCTTTTATCCAAAGTGACCTATAATAAGTGTATTCAACCATAAAGAAACAAACTCAAAAAGCAAGAAATGGCTACTGCATTAGCTTTAAAAAAAAAAAAAGAAACCTTACTTTTTGTATTGGCAGTCAACACAGGTTGTTTATCAGTGCACTTACTGCTGTCCTTATATCAATAGGGAGCTTGTTCCACCATTTCCTTATTAACAAAAGCTCATTGTGGATTCAACAACTTTAAAAACAATAACTTGTGGGTTAGACTTAGAGTATATTTCCCTAAATCTCTAAATATTCCTTTATTGGCCTAATAATAGTACATAAAGTGACAACTCCCTATATTAATCTTAGTGCAAAACCTAAATTTGTAAGATACAATTAATTCTGTGACATTTTCTCAGAGTTTGAGCAACTTTCTGTCCGATCTGATGCTCCACCTAAATGGAGACCTCCTTAAGAAGTTAGTTCATTTGTATAATCATTTATTTTTCCTCTTCGTAGAACTCTTGGTAGGACATCCAATGAAAAGACACAAACCTCTGGAGACAGGAGAAGCCACAGGAGACGATCTGATAGAACATTGGAATGGAAATGTCAGTTGAAGAGAACAATTTGTTTGTGTTGGAATACATTTACTATCCTGATGGAGGTGCTATAATCTGTCTATGAAGAAAACCATTGTCTGCCTTAAAGAGAGATAATCAGACAATGATTGTGTTGCATTTTAACATCCTGGTTTTGGCCATATACGTATGGGATATGATGTTAACATGACTATTCTCGTGACTTGTCATGATTCTAAAATGATCCGATTTGAGGCTGGTCTGGATCGTTTCTGTAATGGCTAAGTTGCTTCAATATTTGAAGATTCACTTTTAGATTTCTGGCTGCCTTAATTGTGCCTCGTTTACTACTCTGGCTTTGGCTTGATCAAATCAAATATCCTTTGAGTAAAGTCCTGTTTTAAGTACTAAAGTAACACAGCTTTAAGAAACGAAGTCAAGAGAGAGAACACTGATTTGAGCACACCTGCTGTTTTATTAAGAAAACATTTAAGTCGAGTATTTTTTAACAACAATGAAGAGAATGTTTTACAAAAAAAAGGAAAGGCAGTATCAAACCAAAAAGGCCACTGTTTCAGTCCTAACCAAGGTATACACAGTGGAACATGTTTTTCCTTAGCATGTAGTAAAGACAGAATTGGAATTGTTAGTTCAGAGACATAAAACAACATTTCAGGCATTTCAAATCAGTGAGAACTGTACAATCGCGTCTTAAACTGCTGGAAAAAGGTTGAAATGGTGGTCCAATGTCCAAAGTATAAAATGACTGGTATGGCCTTCATTTGAAATAAAAAAACTAAGAGAATACCAGACTAACTTTGATAATTTATTGTGATGATCTTTTCTTTAGCTGCCTTGACGTCTCTCAACTAAAAGCTGTACACATAACACTACATTATTTCCCTGGCAAAATATTAATATTGAATCCTTGTTTAGTAGCATCTACTTGTAACTGTCAAACTTGTAGTAGAAATCAGAGAAATGCATGTTTCTGTGCTGCATTGGTACTGCAATCGTCTTTCAACTGTTAACACGTCTCC